AAATCATTTAAACTCGAATTTTACACAAAATGAAATATTCCCAGACTCTAGTTAACTGAGGCCACTCTTCTACCGTTTTCCCATTCTGAAGCAGCTCATAAGAGGTGGAGCATGCCTCCTCATAGATTTTTGATAAATATATGATTTCTTTTGTTATATATTGATATCCTTATTTTATCTGTTTTCTCAAGCATAAGATTCTAGAACACTGCCTAGTCTTGTAGCAAAATGCACAAGCATATTCTTGATCACTCGTTGAGTTGAGATCTTGCAGCATGAAGTACGAGAAACTGAACTTTCTCATCAAGTTCAGAAAGTTACAGTTACTGGAATCAACGGAAAACAAACTAGAAACAACCAAAAAATCAATTTAAGAACAGTTTGCAACCAAACATGCGTGCGGAAATCAAGGGTTGGTGCGCATTTAAGGATTCTGTAATTATTCACTGTTTTTCAAGATATAAGGAATTAAAAATCAAGTTTTATCGATTGAGTTATATTTACGCGACTGATAAAGTTCAATTATTTTTTATTTATTTGGGAGTTATTTCAGAGTTTTTCAGTTGAAAGAATAGATAGGTTTTGTCTGCCACCAAAATTGTTACTAAAGTTTTTACAAGTACAAAACTTGTAATATCAATTACTAAAACTGGTGTATGAATAAACTGAGACACCTAAAGTAACATACCTTTTTTACTGTTCTCTGTTTTTTGGGTGGGGTGAAGATATAAACATTATGAGGTACAAACCACCACTGCTACTGTGAGAACCATTTTAAAGTTTGGAGTAAATACATTCCATTATGAATATTATGTGTAAATTTATTTACGTAAATTACAATGCTTTCATACGCAAAATAACTAATTTTTGTATTAAATGTTAAGGTTTGTAAAGCAATGTTTCTCTCGTGCTTTTTTCACATCTTGTCAGGCAAAATAATTTTCATCTTAACATTAAAAATACTTTTGTGCATCAGAAAATTTCGAACTTTCATATGCGAAATTTTTATAATGTCCAAACGTTTCCTAAGAGAAAACTTCATATTTTATATATTGTCTTCAGTAATCAATTTCTGTTCAGGTCCGGAAAATTTGAACGATCTCGCAACCACCATAAAAAATTATGAAATAAACATAAATTAAGCATCTTTCATTCTGGAATGAACACAAAGGGATTTAAATTGATAGTTACTGTACGAGCATCAGGACGTGTTTCTTGTGTAAATATAAGGTAGTGACAATACTTACTTCTATTGTATTTTAAGTAAAGGTTCTTAATAATAGTTCAGTACATTCTCCATATATTGAGTGATAACTGAACTTTCAAGTATTTTTTTCTTAAATTTTCCTCCATCTATTGAGAGATCACTGAACTTCCAAGTATTTTTCTCCATCTATTGAGAGATAACTGAACT